AAACTCGGGTGTGGGAGGACGCGCCAGGACACCAGCTGAGGCGCCCTGCCCGGCTCACAGTGGGAGGCTATCCACACACACAGCCAGTGCTTCACAACCAGGTTCAGATGCCAACTCCACTGCTGGGCACACAGCTGAGGGCTGGAGTGGAGGGCTCAGGGTCACGGCCAAAGGAGGGTGTGAGAGACCCTGGGCCCAGTGGTTGTCAGGGGCGTGCGACCTCTGGGGCAGCCCGGCACTGAGTCCTCAGACCCAGCTCACATGTGGTGGCTCTGAAAGCGTGGCCATAGCCACCCACTGGGGCTCACACGGGGCTCACAGCCGCCCACTAGGGCTCACACGGGGCTCACAGCCGCCCACTAGGGCTCACACGGGGCTCACAGCCGCCTGCCGGGGGCTCAGAGCTTTCCCAGGCCGAGTGGGGAATGCTGGGTCTGCAGCTGGACGTCGTGGCCACGCTGGAGCCCTCCGCTAGGAGACCCTGGCAGTGACCTGTGTGCACCTGACCTTCGGAGGCACCGCTCTCCTGCTCAGCCCCCTCCACAGGAACTGGAGCTCCCTGGGAGCACTGCCAGGAAACATTCCCGAGCCCGAGTGCTGGGACCGCTCTCGTCCTTGGAAAAGGCCAGCGGGCAGATGAGACCACACGTGCGAGGCACTGACAAGTGGGTGACTGTCCCAGAGTCGAAAGGCCACGTGCCACCCCTTCCTGCCGCTGGGGGACCCTCGTCACTGTTCTCGGGAACCTGGAAACCCTGCTCCATCGCACTCTTCACGAGAGGCTGTGTCCTCGGTGCTCTCCGGCCTGGGCAGTGGCCGGGCTGCCCCCACCGCGCCGCCATCACTCATGGGACGTCCACCGTGAGGAAGCGGCCGGAGCAGAGCTGCCCAGGCCCCAGACGCTGAACACAGCAGAGAGCATCCCCCTGGAGGCAGCGCACACGCCACGTAAAGCTGGGATCTTGGACCACAAAGACCCAGCAGCCCATGCTGTCCCCGCATTCTTGTCTGCAAACAGGGGACCTGGACGAGGGCTCAGTGCCAACCCCTCCCAGGGAGGCGCACAGCAGCTCTCCCTCCCTCCATCACCAGCCCGCCTCCAAGTGCACGGCCTTCAACCTCCTGGGTGTGGGTCGCCGGACTCTCCCGTGAACATGCCACGAGCAGTGAGCGGCTAACCCTGCCTTACCGGACACCAGACCCACCACGAGGAAAGCAAGGCTTCTAGTCAGCCCGGAACCGCCTCAGAGCTGCTGGAGGACAGAGCAGCGAGAGCAGCCAGAGCCCGAGGTGTGAGGGAGGCGCCTGGCCTCCGCGCCTGGACGGGCAGGTGCCGTGGCACCAAGTGTGGCTTTTCCGTGGGGCATACCTTCAGCCACCGTATCCAGAGCTGTTTGCTCTGATGAACTATACGTCGTTTCTAAGTTTTTCTGGGGTCGTTAAGCCTCGCAGCACAAACAGTGGCTGTTCCATCAGAAGGCACCGCGGCACCTCCGACACCAGCGGACAGGCGGCCGGTGGAGGGCCTGGGAGACTGTGTGCTGGGTCACCAGTCACCATGTGGCACTGAGTGGAAGGCTGTGGGACGGGACATGCCTGGCCCCTCTGCCCCTCCCGCCCACATGACGCTGAAGCCGCAGTGTCCGCGCCCAGCAGGCTGGTGAGCAGGCGTCCCACACGCACGAGGGGACTGACCTTGGCCTTCCGAAGCACGTGCCCCCGGCAGGGAGAGCTGCCGGCCGGCTGGCTCTTCCTCAGGACGGCGGCGCTGTTCACGGGCACGGGGCCCTCGGCGTCACTGGTCTCGCAGCTGGACAGCGGGGAGTTCTCCAGAGTCCGGGGCCTGAGCACTGGGGACTGAGAGAGGCGGCGAGGCTGTTTCCCAGCAGGGATGGCGCCTTTACCAGGAACAGGGGGCTCGGGGTACGCCACCCACAGTGAGGACACCAGGTGTCTGTGTGGTCCCTGCCCAGTGCTCAGAGCACCTTCCAACGTCTGTCTCACAGACAGAGAGACTGAGGCGCAGAGAGATGCTCAACCGGCGGGTCATGCTGGGAAGCGGGGAGGCCCAGTCCGCGTCCTCTGCATTCCATGGTGCCTCCAGCCCAGCACGCGCCTCTAACAGTCTCCTCTCCGGGGCCTGTAACTCCCAGGCACCTCTCACCCGCAGCCCCGGCAGCAGAGACCTGGTGGCAGCCGCAGCAGGAACTGGGGGAACCACACGCGGCCAGCTCATGGGAGGAACCGGGCAGAGCAGGCCCAGGATTCCGGGCTGTGAAAAAGACCAGGACCTGCCAGTTTGGCTCAGTGGACAGAGCGTCAGCCTGTGGACTGAAGGGTCCCGGGTTTGACTGGTCAAGGGCTCATACCTCGGTTGCAGGCTCAATGCAAATTGATGTTTCTCTCTCT